CTCTTAATAATTGTTGAAGATAGCGCTAAGACGTATTTGAAACTGACTACGAGGACTACACCAATAATACAGACAAAAGGTGAACATCGCAAATGTAAAAGAGATAAAGACTTGCTTTAGTCTAACTCCTAATGATAGCAAATAACTGACAGCAATAGCATCTGTAAGAACAAACTAATAGCGATGAACAAATGGCGATGATCTAGCAGCGATGATCTAGTAGCGATGATTGAAATGGAATCTTTACACGTGTCCTAAAGACGAAAACAAACAGAAGCCGAAGAAGTAGTCTATGAAAAATCACACGGAATGTGTATCACTTGAAACACGTGCAAAGGAGCTAACAAAACAAGACAGAAACTATGCCGCTAAAAGCACCCAATAAACAACGATCAAAAAAGTTTCGTTGAGATCTTATACTTACCGACGAGTTTTCAGACGAGGCTCAGCTTGTAAGTAAGAATGCGAACTGGAAATTGGAAAGTCTGCCGAGCTTTAAATTATCTCTTTCCAAACTCATCAATTATTAATAATATTTATAAAGTGATCATCCAACTAAGAGACTTAATTTTGTCGCGTGCATGCGGTTTGAAACTTCGTTGAAAAATTGAGGCATCATTCACGGGTTCCATGCAATATTAAAGCCTTAAATTTGATAAAGCATCAAACGTTTCATCAGATCTAGAGTTTCCAAACACTCGAAAACAAGAAAAGAATTCGCCCTACTGCCTCGTGCTTTCATATGTCTTGTCTTGTTTAGATGATGACCTTGATAAAACACTTGCATACGTTTTTGACCCACGCTCGTCATTTGGGACACGTCATTTCGTGTCCCAAATTAGCTCATATAGCTTAAGTGTATTGACAGCGTGTCTCAGGCTTAATGCGATCCTTACCTAATATCATAACTGATAATCAGCTAAAACGATGAGACTTCCGGGTATCCTTAAATTTCGCCCGTGTTTGCGAGCTAAGTTTCCAGTTTTTTTCCATAATCGATGTTACCAATTATTACGAACGAAAATAAAGCTTTCAAGACACAGCCTCCTTAAAACGCGGTCCGATGAATTTCGGTTAAAAAAATCGATCTCTTTTAAACTCTGCCCATGAATCTGTCTTAGTCTAAACGTAATCGAAACCAGCTTGGTTTTTCCGAATGTTGCAATAGGATTTCTTCCGAGAGAAAATCGCTTCAGCCCTAGAACGCCCTTTTTTAATAGCGCTGATCATCAAAAATTGTGTTGTAGAGAATTTAGTTAGCTAAGTTGGTCAGTTAGACAGTTAGACAGCCAGTTAAATATGATTTAGTCATTTGTTTATATTTAGGATGAATTGTTAAAAGACAAAATTGGTATCTAGCAAGAATTTTCACTATAGGTGTTTTTTGACTTACTTGAACGTTGAAAATGAATGGAAATAATATATTAGCATAAACCACTCAGTAAAAATTATAATAAGCCAGTTGATCATTTCTTATTCCTTTTGGCGGTCTTATCTTACAGGTATAATTTAGCACGCTCGACACCTCTTTAACTTATAGGTGACTTTAGGTGTAAACATGTAGTACTTTTCATCTTCATGTTTAAAAGATGTACTGAAAGAATCACAAATGAAGCATCAAAATCAAGCAAACTGTGGATGGTCAGTAAGTTTCAGGGCAAAATCAGGAGATGTTTATAGGATAAACACCATGTTTTCTTGCACATAGAATAAGGAGCTGAACAAGAATGATATCACAATTGGTGATCACAATAAGAATCTGAGAAGCAGCAGTAACCACAGTAGACACTAAGACGAAGCAAAGTGATGGCGACCACAATTTTCATGCTTCTCGTTTGGTGACTGTGGCCTGCCACAACCTTTATTTCAAGCCTCGTTTTAAAAGTTCTACGCCCACACTCAAGCGATTGGTAGAAATTCAACCAACATGCTGACGGCCCAATGCTCCCCTGCAGAACGAGCGTAATTTTTGCGTTTTCAGGCATAACGAGGCAAACGCGATTCACTTTAAGAAAGAGAATATCAACTGTAAGAACCGATCCCCGTGACCTATGCTTGTTTTTTTAAAGTCTATTTTAAATTTCGCACCACGCTTGGAAGTTATTTTAATTAATACCTCGCATGATAACGCGGATAACGATCTCGATATCATCTGTCGTTGCAGTTTCCGATGTTCAAGTTTTAAAAGAGTTTTTAAAAATTGTAATCACATTGTTCTTGAATATTTTAAAGTCTTTTTACAGCAGGATGGGAATATTTGCATAACACCGCGTGCTTAGGAAAAGAACACTCACCTTACGCGTGACTCGCCCTTGCGCTCTCCTCGCGCTGACCGGCGTTTGACGAAAAACGCAAAAGAGAATAAGTTTGTTTTACTTGCTAGTGCATTGCGTATAGCCTTCTTCTCAGTTTTCCTAGCGCTCTGTTTGCTTCAGACCATGAACATCAATGCTTTGTAATTTTCTTTTTAATCATGCTTTGCTATCACTTGTTCAGTCCTCACTTATCATAAAAAGTTGCTTTGGAAATTTGAGTTCTTTTTATTTCAACAAAATAAACGATACTAAAAATTTAACGAGAAAAGCTCATTGACTGTAAACGATGGGAAACGAGACAGCGAGACTCTGGGAAGAAGGCGAATCGAGATCGTTTATTCGTAGAAGCAAGGTTGATTCTCTTCTAAAAAATCTGCAGACAACACTTTTAATCTTGCCACAGTACTTTGCATTCATTATTTTCATAGTTAAGATTATCTTTAGTAATACCAACTAACTTAGAACTGATTAAACTACTATATGCAAGTGGTTCCTTTACCGGCTGTGATGAATGATTCAGTTTCATCTTTCATGGTTTATATACTTTTCAATGGACATCGTTTTTACAACCAGGTATTTACTGTATGAATGTCATTCTATATTATCCACTGGATCCATTGTGTCTTCGCACAACGCAAAATTGGCTTCTGACGCTATTTTGTTACAGTTTATTTATTTATTTATTAGCGATATTTATGCAGGCTGACCCAGTTCAGCTTCAAGCTGGTTTGAATGGGGGCCTGCTTAGGACATATTAAGTAAAACAAAATGAATTTAGAATTATGACATGGCTAGTAAATTTGTCTAATCAAATTCAATTGCATTAGCATGCTTCATATTCCTATTGTGCACGCTCATGACGTCTGCATACAAATCCCTCGAGAGAAAAATTTTCTCCGCAATTTTTTACTCTGGGATTTTACTATTAAAAAAATGGTTAAGACTTCGGCGGCGATTTAAGCTAAACAAGATCGTTTACAGCGTAGCGAAATGTTTTCCTGAAACAAAATTATCAACGCGCTGAAGCGTAGCAAAGGGAATATTAACCCTTTTACAACATTTAAACCATTGGGTTGAAAATGTTATAAAACAATTGGTTCATACGTCAGCTGTGCGTTCATCGAGATATGGAGCACTTGGGAAGTTTGGAGAGCACTCAAGAAGCTAGAGTTGCTCTCGGCTACGCCTCGATTATCTCTTACAGATCTTTCGTGCTCTCCAAACTTTCCGCGTGCTTCATATCTCGATGAACGCACGCTGACGTATGAACCAATTGTTAAATATGAAATACAAAGGGAGCCCCTAACACAAATTAAAATTTACACATAAGATATACAATATACGTTACATTACAAAGGGTACTACATCAATTCCGTAAATGAAGTTTGAGAACTTTTTCTTAAAATTAGGCAGTGAATTTATGTTTCGTAGTTTACTAGTCAGAGTATTCCACACCTCTGCACCTTTGTAGCTAAAGGAACCTTGATATTTAGATGTTTTAGCCAGGGATAATCGCAACAGGTCTATATCTGGTATTGTAGGCATGGTATTGGCGGAAAAAACTAAATTCATTCAAAAGATAGGCGGGCCCGAGACTGTGTAGGCATTTAAACACTTGTAGGCAAGTGTGATATTTCCTGTGATTTTCTAAGGAAGGTCAGTTAAAAGTACTGCCTGTATTTTCTACTTTACGCCCTTCGATGATGTGAGGTGTTCGCAGTTGCAATTTGTCCAGGTAGTCCCGATTTGTTCACAGCCATCTCAGACTACACGGCAGTAGTCGAATAGTGGAAGTATCGAGGAGTCATAGAATGTGATACAGGCCTCTCGAGGAATGATTTTGCGGGCTTCCCGCAGCTTGCCCAGCCTAGCAGATATTTTGGAGGCAATATGGTCGATGTGATCACTCTAAGAAAGGCCTGGATCGAGCATGACTCTGAGATACTTGAACTGGTAGACCCTTCTAAAGGTCTTGTTAAAAGCTGAAACACTAAAACTAGCAACTCTCGAGAGCCTTTGATGCGTTCCCACAGCATAACTTTGATTTTAGAGTATTTAAGAATGCAAGGAGGAGAGCAGAGTAGAGTAGTTAAGAAACAGATAGTTACCATTAGTTACTACCTAGCCTGCTTATGATGTTGCTTAGATCAGCAGACAGGTAAGACTCGATTTCATAGAAATGCGGAGTGTCATCCGCATCCGCATCCGCAACCTTACATACTGTTCAGCTAAAACCATTTTCAATACTTTTGAGGGGCACGTTCTTTCCAGATTGCAACGGTCCTTCATTTTGCATTACAATTGGTACCCAATCTCCACATATCGTATTCAAGACTAAAACCAATCACGATCGATCTGGTTATGTCTGCATTTGAGTCCGTTGACATATTTTTACTTTGCGTTCCCATTGGCTCCTCGTAATGTTTAACATCTGATTAGCTGCGGTAATCATTTTGACTTTGATTACACTACGGTCAATTTAAAAGTATTAGAAAAATCTAAACGTAGATTGGGTTACGCAATAAGATCGCCAAGTTTTGAGCGGAGTTCCCGAACTACAGCCGCAGCATCCCTGTTGCCAGACAAATGCAACTTCGTCAAGGACTTGCTCCCTTTAGCTTCATCAGCTAGGACGTTAACACCACGATAACTGATGCTGTTGCGAGCCAAATACAGCTCTTTCAGAATAGTATTACTCTTAAGGGAATTAGATAAAGCGAGAGCGCCACGATCAGTAATTTTGTTGCTCGATAAATCAAGCCTTTCCAAGGAATTATTGCATTCAAGGGCAGCTGCTAAAGCAGTGGTGCCAGAATCTCCAATATCATTATCGTGCAAACCCAGGTCTTTCAAGGTTTTGTTGCATTTGAGTGCTTCAGCCAGACTAGTAGCACCAGCATCTCCAATGGAACCACCAGCCAAAAGAATCATCTTTAAATTGGCGTTCACTTGTACTGCATCCGCAAGGAAAGAAGCACCAGCGTCTCCTATTTTATTGCCAGACAGTCTCAAATCCGTCAGGGTTCCATTGCACTTAATGGCACCGGCTAGGGTGGTAGCACCAGGATGGCCAATGTTATTGAAAGACAAATCTAGTCTTGACAGAGACACGTTGCATTTCAGGGCTTCGGCCAGAGCATCAGCACCAGAGTCGAGGATGTTGTTGAAAGGTACTAACAATTCCGTCAGAGTTGAGTTGCGTTTGAGTAAACCAGTTAACGCACAGGCTCCAGGACCAAGAATCCTATTAGTACCTAAATCCAACACTCTCAGGGACGAATTGCTTGTAAGGGCCTCGGCCAGAGCGACAACGCCTTCTTCTCCAATTGCATTGAATGAAATATGTAAACTTGTTAAGGTTGTATTGGTTTTAAGTGCTTCAGCCAGAATAACAACATCAGGATCACAAACGTTTGACCTTTCAAGAGAGACAGATTCCAGTTGAAGAAGCGAGCCAAAATCACGTGACAAGCGAGTTGGTAGATCGTTCTCCTCCTTGCATTCTTTGATGCAGTCCAAAACAACCCTGAACCATCTATCTCTGACTTCATCCACCTCCTGGTTCAAGTGTGACGTTATGCTCTTGACTAGGATCACCGTTGTCTCCTCGCATCGTGCTGATAAGATACCAAAGACAAATGGAAGGACTTCTTTCAACTGTTGGATGAAACGCTTGTCAACAGCTACTTCGCTGGGGCTGATTTCCTTCGCAATCAATCGACGACTCAGATAGTACGCGGCAAACCATTCTTGAAAGCTCTTGTGAAGGAAAGCATAACGTCGGCGCGGTCTTAATTTGCTGCCTCCAGGCTGAACGGAGAGAAATCCAAATCCAGGTAAGTCACTTTTGTGATTTCCAAGCTCACTTTCGTCAAAGTCCAAGTTGTCTTCGAGCAAACCGTTAAGTGCTATCCCGCCAAGGTGCTTCAGTTGGGTTCCGTACTCTTCAATGAAGTCTTCGCCGTTTACTGGCAGTTGTTTCTTTTGCTTGTATCTTCTTAAAACACATTGCACTATTTCCACATACAGCTCCGTTCTACTTTCTGGGAAGACCCCTTCAAAGTCCTCACAAACCAGGCAAAAAAGTGCGGTGTTGAGAGGATTTGCCGCCATGTCTTTCAACTTTTTATCTTTTCCAATCTCTTCGATGAGAGTTTTGGCCAAATTCTCCCTTGTTTTGAAGTATTTGGTGATAAAGTTTCGCGCATCCTCTTCAGTGAACCCTTCAACCTCCAGCAATGTGTCACAATGTCTTCTAACTTGAACTCCAGCTTCGTGTCGCGCTGTAACAACCAGGTAACACTTTGGAAGAAGTCTTCCTTGGATGATTTCGGCAAACATTGGTAGTTTACTCACAGAAACTTCATCCAATCCATCAAGGACCAGCAGAACCACAGACTGATTGCGGCGAATGAAGTTGAAGAATTTCTCCTTTTCGGCCTCATCGATATCTCGAGGAAGAAGCTGATCATCAATAGCCGCCCATAGGTCTCCCTTCATATCGCGACATTTGATGAACAACACGATTTTGAAGCTTGGTAGGAAGCCACCTGTTTCTTGCTTTCCAATCGCCCAACCATAAACAAGTTTCTTGCAATATGTGGTTTTTCCCATACCGGGCTTCCCCTCAATTAACGATGTTCTTGGATTCTCGCATTCTTCGTGCGACTTGAATATTTCAGACATGGTAACAACGTGTCCTGTGGCTTTCCCTCCTGCTTTCATTCTGCTTACCACTCTGAGTCTGGTATAGATATCACCAAGATGAAAACAAAAGTCCTCGCACCACGGAAATGGTGCCAGCCATCCATCGCGGACTTTGTAAAGTTGTCGTATTCCATCGATCAGTTCAGTTGGATCAAAATCATCTGAAAGAAGAATTTGGCTTTTTTCAATATGCTGACATGCGTTCCACGAGCTTTTACAAAATCTGTCCAGCACTACCTGTCCAGCACTACCTGTCCAGCACTATCGGTACAGCACTATCTGTGCAGCACTTTACATATCCACAAAGACCAAGAAGTGGTGGAATAGGGAGCCAGCAGTTTACAATACTCTAAGCATTTCGTCTGGTAACCCGGTTTTCCTCGGGGCATTCTAGGTTACAACACAATTAGCTTGTATGTGTGTATAAACCAATCATACACTCGACTGCAAAAAAGTACGTGGATATTTCAAATGAATGAATGACCCCAATTACGCGTGACTTCGGTTACAGTGCCATACCAATTATTGTAACATAGTCACACAACACGGTAACCACAAATTATTTTGAGACAGAGTTACATCTTACATAATCATTTCTCAAATACTTCGCCTGATTCCTGTACGCCACTTTCAAACCTCTTAAGTTCACAGATAATAAGAAAGAGTATATAACGTTCTGATAACGGTACTAAATGTTTCGAAGACTGACCTTCAGCTTGCTTTGATCCAAGGATGGCATCTAACTTTTCACTGACGTTTTTTACTTGTTCTTCAACATGTTCAAGTTTTCCTTTAATGATCGAGAATGTTTCCATGTTGATAAAGTCGACAAAGTTTCACTACATTCATAATATCTTTAAATTAAAAGTTCTGTATGGTTTTTTATGAAAACGTGTGAGAGAATAAAATTTGAATGGGGAAATTGTGAAAATGGGAAGAGCGTTACCTCTGAAATGAAATCTGATCATTTTTCTTACGATGAAGTCACTTCCGATATGGGTCGTGACGTTTCACCTGCTTACTGTGAGTCTCCTTGACCACCTGAAAAGACCAACAGGGGGAATCTGAAAGGTCGCGAAAGTGACTCTATCGCAGGACAAACGATTACGTTCACATTTTTATAAGTTTCTTTAATGCAAACTTTTTCACAACATTAACCGGGATCTATGGAAATGTCCGCATCCACCAAACAATAAGATTCAACAAATAAGGTCACATCCACCGATAGCCAATCTATCCCCCCACCACTTCACCTTCATGAGGTGTAAGACTATTTTACACGTACTTGTATCCTACACAAGAGCAAAAAAAGCCTGCCCTGCTCTGAACGCACCTCTCGTATATTTCAAGTACTTTTTGGCAGAGTATCAAATATGTATGCAAGCTGTCGCATTTTACTTCCTAAAAATCGCTTTCGTCATTTTTTCAGAGCGCTCAACCCTAAAACAACTACTTTTGTAACATACCTTCCACTTCTTCAAGCTTTTCTTTAATGTTGTCCTCATCTTTTTTCCACATTGATAGCAACTCCTTGTAATGTTCCTCCATATCAGGATCCATACTTTCATTCTTGAGCTTGATAATAGCTGCAGCGTACTTTGCTCCTCCTAATCCAACTATTGTATCACCGATATCCTGCCATAGGGTGTTGAATGTGGTGTCATCGACTGCAGCCTGCTCAGCGTGACCGTATGTAGTATTTCGGTAAAACTTCACCCTGGCTATGTTAGCTGATGCACTGCCTTCTGCTACAGGAGGAAGACGGTCCCAACCATTGATAGGAGGACTAAGACCACAGATATTCCTCAATAGCACCACTAAGAGTGTGATATCAAAGCTAGCTGATGAAACAGAAGCTGTAACGACAGGGAACAACTTCCCCCATTGTGTGGGATTAATAACTTTCTTCTTCCGAAGAGACTGTAGTTTTGCATGTTCTGGGTGACGAGCCAAAACTTTATGGAGTCCTTCCGGCGAATGTATACCATCAAATGTGTCTCTTAAGACCTGGGACCCGACATCCACCAGAAGACGACAAAGCCGTGCATAGTTTGTTGTCTCCTTGGTTGAAGCCACTGAGGGAGGACCAGAAGCCATCCGCTGGTTAACAAATAATACCAAAAAAATTGGTTAGCTTAACCTAATTTTGTCCCACACTGAAAATGGTGCATATCTTAGAGCAATCATTAAATCTTATTGCAGACAACTTCCAACCTTTAAAAGATATTTGATACTGGATCATGTACCCACCACGCTACTCTTTAATTTGTAAATCAAACATTATCGCACAGTCCACAAACTCAAAGGCCGGTTATTGAAAGAAAACTTTAACCTTTTTTCATCCAAACCACGTTCTAAACAATCTTAATTCAAGCAGAAATATCACCTATACTTCACGTTTTCGCAAAAACTGTCTAAAAGGCTTCTTTTCAGGACTTAAAGAAAGATCTAATTGCTTCGAAGACCTTATTTAAGTGGAACTTTCGAAGTCCATTGATCGTCAAATTAGACCTTGTTTCAATTGTTGTAAACTGATTTAATTGGAACAACAAACCCTCTCTCGCTTACACAATTATTCCGACTGAAGAACAGTTCGCTTAAACCTTTTATCTAAATTGATTTCTCTTTTTGTGTAATATAAACCTATTTTTGTCGTAGTGCTTGATGAAAATCACATCTAGACGACACGTCTTAAAAAATGTCAATCTTAATAACACGTTCTCTTGTTTCGTAACGACATTGTACAACGTCACGACACAATAAAAACCAAAGTCTCTTAAATGGATGCATATACCCCAAGTCCTAAAACTTCTACTAATATTGGTCAGAAATCTCGGTTACATTTTTTCAGTGAAGATTACATTTACTTCATTCCCCCTCTTCAATAGGAAAAATAATGAATCAAAGCTAGTTTTATTTGCCGAGAAATTTAATACATTTATTAGATTATGCCTATCGCTCACGGGCACGTTCCTCATCAATGAACGAGAACTCAACCTAAATTTATAAATTATGCTTGGATATGCCACGCATTAATTAAAAAAACCATTCTATGAAAGTTCTATCACTACTTGAACGATGCTTATTAACTTCATTTGTGTGAACAGTCGAAATATTTTGGAACAGTGTGAGCACACTTATTAAATCTTCCGCTTTCAGTTACGTAGAATGTTTGGCAGCCTTACATCATCACTAAAAACACCTGATCGAGAAATTGCACTCAGATGAAGTAAATCTATCGATGGTTCATTGTTTAGGAACTCATTAGCAACGATATAAAAATATTCCCAGCTGTTTCTTTTGATGCATAATGTATGTCGATTAAATCTTTTGAAGGATTACTGTTTGAGGGATTTGCTCGAATAACAATTGAAACATTCTGCTTACCCAATGAACTGAAACCTCCCTGTCAACTACAGCCAGCAAATAGAATTTGGAGAATGTTCGATTCTCGAAGCTATCGATGAAAGAAAACGATGGTTTCTTGCATGTATATAAAACGAAATCTGGCGCTTGCCCTTTCTCTTCGTCAGTGGTCGGTGACGGTCTGTGACGGTGCGAATTGGCTTTTGCGCCTGCACTCACTTTGCCCAGAGGAATAATAAAAACCCAGTCAATATAGCTTAAGTACCGTAACAAACAAGTACCGACTTGTTTCGTTCCCTGTTCGGAAGCTTTGATTTGCTTGCGTAAGGTGCCTGCCTGTTGCCACAAGGAAAATGGACCACGTTTGTGATTGAAGAAAAGATCTTTGGGTTAGTGAGGCCATATCAAGTTTTTCCGCTCTCCATTATTATTACTGAGCGTGTGTATTCCTCATGACTGGGTTTAGTTTTCGGGGTCTCGTTTCAATTGGCCAGCAATTTCATTTTGCAATGACATGTGACACAAATTGTAGTGGCAAAATTTATCATTGTGTTATGCCAAAGCGACACGGTAAATTTGTCCGCCTTTAACTGCATCAAGTTTCACGAAAATGTCAGCTACCCAATCGAAGTCGAGAGACCACAAATGGAAAATGACTTTTTTATTCGGCTTTAAACTTTATGTCACAAATAAACATTACTTTTCAGAAATCACAATGCTGCATACTTCCGCTTGAATTACAATATCTCTGGTAGTGCCCTCTCACATTTATGTGAAGAAGAATGGATTTTACATCTACATACGACGACAACAAACTAGGAGTACATTGAATTACTTGCGCTAGTTACATTAATATACGCGCAACGCAAATATACAGTATTTAAACCTACTTACAGAAGAATTACGTACAGATGATAGCATACCTTCTCTTTTACCTTACAAACCGCTTCTAACAATTTTTTAAAACTTATAATGCAAATAGCACTACCAACACTAATCGCTACATTATCACATCTTGCGTCACGTCGCCGTTAAGCACACGTTAGGTTTGGTAAAGTAACCATAGGCGCCGATCGTGGCTCTGAAAAATTCTTTAAGTTCATATTTGAATATCACCTTACAAAAATTACATATTACTGAATAAGGGGGTAAGTTTTTAAAGAACCCCCTCCATTGGAGAGGGTATTACAGGATAGAACGGTTTTATCAACTGAATTGATAATGTAAATTGGCCACCGTAAAGAGTTATTGAGGCAGACATTTCTAATGCTAACACGGTGGCCAATTTGAAAAAGTGAAACCAGCGCTTAAGGTTTAATAAGGGCCTTCCACCATCCCCTCCCCGGTTCATCCCAGATCTGAAATAAGCGCTCTGTACAATTATTCGAGGATCTACAGTAAACTAAACTCCTGAGCAGTCAGTCATCGATTTCAATATACACCACTTCACTTTGGGTTTTGAAATCTTCTCCTGTCACAAGTTTGCCCGCCACGTAAACCTGTCGAATGTTCCTGTCATCTCCTACAATAAGAAAACAACAGTTACTTTATTGTTACAAACACATGTGTTCCGATTTTTCGCAACAGAAACTTGAAAGGCACTTTCGGAAACAACCGGAACTAAGCAACACAGAGAAATTTTAAAGTAGGATTCGTCGCATAGAGTGCGAATAATCAATAATGACACTTTTAATTCATGTACGTACATTTTAATTTAACAAGTATTCTACTCATTTCATTCTACGTTAATAATTGGAGTTTTACTTTCGATACTTGAAATTTTCTGTCTAACTGACTGACTGCCTCTCCTACTTCGTACTCACGACGATCAATAGGTTAAAATTTAACTTACAGTAATCAAGTGAGATCAAATTGTCGATCTTACTCACCAAGGTAAAGAAACTTTTGGACTGCATCCTGAAAAAAAAAAAAAGAAAAAAAAAAAAGAACAGATCAACATGTCTTTTTAAAAACCATTTTGTCTTTCACTCAATTACAGTTCCTAATAAGGATACACAAGCGCAGCATTTAGTCGCGTCACTCGTCTCTGTCGAACGATACAAGATACGCAAGAAGATGATGCAGCAAGCCAACCCTTGCCATGTGCGGGCTCTTTTCCCGAACAGCGGTTGGTCATTGAGCCTCGAAAGCTCAGGATAACTTCCAACTGATACCAGGGGGGGAGGGGGTAAGGGGTTACTAAAAAGAAGTATCAAGCCCGATTTCAAAATACGCAAGTGCGCAAAAAATAATTAATGAAATTAATGAGTAACTATATTTAAACGAGAACATACCAATACAATACAAAGGACGTGAAATATTTAAGTCACTGACGGTGCAAGTGGACAAACTACGGCTGATTTAAAACGCTGAGAAACGAAAAAAACTATCTTTTACAATCAGTAGAACGTCAAAAATGGATAACTCCTACCTTTGAATCATCTGCATCAAAACAATCAAATGGGGAATCTGGAACTTCCACGTCAATTAATAATGCATCGAAATCTTTGCCGACCTAAATAAAAAAGTTAAACACAACGTCAAGCTTCTTCATCGGGAAGTGTTCGTGAAAATCGGTAGGTATTACGCTTCACTTTACCTCAAAATTTCCTATTTTGTCGTCAAGTCCAAGCACTACAACGGAATTAAAACACATCACTTGATAAAGATTGCCATGGACTACCACAACAATAACAGACATTTCATAGGACTGAAAGGAAATCAAGCTCGAAATTGTTTTCCGCTGAATTTTCATGCCCTCTTCACAATCCTGCTGAAACCCTCGATAACAGTAAATTCTCCTCTAGGAAACACATTGAAAATGCGAACCAAAATTTTAGGCTTTGCAATTGGAGTATCATTGAAAAGGACTGAAAAAAACAAAAACGCTGGAGGGAGATTTAATGATGCATGAATCACCTTGACTACCACCTAAAGTAGCAAGAAAGAAAGCTTCTTCATAAGTTAGGGCTGTGAATTCCTCAGATTTGCCAAAACTGATTGCATTGGAAGCTTTGACACAATCACGAATGGCTACCAACATCGATGGTGATTCTCCACCAGAAACATCTGTTGAGTAATTAAAAAAATTAAAAAGGCATTCATCAATAGAGTCAATTTTCCCTCTAAAGTTCATTTCCTTCACGTCTGCGCTGTCCCACATGTTCTACTTCTTGTACAGCTGTGAAAAATAACACTTGCTAAATTTCGATCAATTTGTGTCCGTATTTTCTACTCCTTGTTATTTGAGTTGAACCGTTTCATTCCAAGACAAAATCTTCCGTGTAATTGTCAGTTCTTTTCCCTTTCTGCCATACATTCATAAAAGCTTTAAGAATTTGGTGTTGAAGCAGACAGGACTTCCTAGTTTCGATTTTACCATCTTCTCGTCAACTTTCTGCTCGATGTATAGAGATATTGTTAAGAAAACTCCTATTTTGTCACTCTTGGGAGATAAGGATTCTATCCAGGAATGGGGAGAAGGGAAGTATTGGGGTCAATTTTTGCTGGGTATGTGCTGCTGGCCTCTCATAACCCATTACAGTCTATTCTGTGGCCAATTATAAACCCCTTTTTAACCGCAAATCTTCCCAAATTTTCTTACCCTCAAAATCCCCATAATAAACCCCATTGCATTAACTCTATTGAAAATGTAACCTCATTACAGTTAATCCAGTTGTGAATATGCGAACCCATCCAGCGGCACATTCCCATTAGCCTATAACTAAGAAGTAAAACACCCCACCCCACCCCATAAAAATCACTCCCGTGATTTTTATGTTGGTTTCTACATACCAAGTAGTAGGGAAATAAAAATTTACCTGTCCCTAATCCAACTTTGATCTTTTTGTTCAAGTAGTGTCTGATATCAGCCACACCGCTTCGAATGCTACAACAAACAAAGGCAGAACTTATTGGAACTTGAAGTTGGCAAAAGAGAACCCTAGGAATTGTCAATAGCAGTTCATAGCAAAAACTTATAGGGAAAAAAAAACAGTCTCTGATACCACATATTCCACACACTCAACCAAGCCTCAAACTTAATTACAGTCTGAAATAACTTCGCGAAATTTCAGGTAAATTGTCCCTCGACATTTCGCGTCCCAAAGCCTACACAAAAGTCTTCACAAAAATTCGACAAAATCGCTACAAATTTTCGACGTTAATTTCTAAAATACGATGCTCGTATTACATACGCACAATTCTATATTAAAAGCTCTGCTGGCTGTTCTTTAACCGTTTTCTTCAAAAAACTCGGCTTCAAGGTTATGACCAACCCCACATTAGCCTTGTTAACTTTTAGCTTCATGATATTACTCACTTAAAATTGGATGTCGGACAATGAGCGACGGCAGAATTTCTTTCTAACATAAGATTAATTTCCTCTTCTGTGGAGTGGCAGCAATGGGCCATATATGTCTGCAAAAGAATTCATAAATATCGTCATAACAAATAAAGTAATACATGACCTCCAAAACTTTTTATTGATCTATACTAGTTAGTAATTTATTATTATGATTATTATTATTACAAGAATTATTATCACTGTATCTATAATGAGAGTGATAATTTAAAACCTTGTTTCACAGTTTATAACAAAGGGAGCAAAATAACTAAATGCTCATTTACTCACCTTACCATTAAGAAGGTTATGCTTATCATACACTGCAGTATAGCTCTCATTTGGAAATTCTTCTTTAACCAACGATATTTCCTTCTTATTTTCATTTAAGTGACTCTTGAGGAAAAAGACAACAGAATTAATAAATTTTCTTTGAAATTTACACTAATATGGCATCACAACTCTTAATTGTGCGAGGACTTTTTTTTAAGGATATTAAAACTCTTTTATTATCTTCCAACATCTGATTGTTTATTCTTCCTTCTAGTTACTGCACATTTTCTTTTAAACTAGTCACAATAATTTGGTGTTAGACTAAGATGACAACTTCCTCCTGATAAGTTTGGACATTTTCATTATCTGTTTAACAAATCATGTGTGGATATTAGAGGGAGAAGTGACATGTTAATCACTCCTAGGAGCAAAAATACCATCCAAGCAGGGACAAGATGCACCAAGGGAATCAAACAACATGTTATGCCAAGTTGATCAACTGAAGCTTTGCTGGAGCATTGAGAGATGGGCATCCTTCAAATTGCATTCACTTC